GTAGAAAATGCTCATCAATTCCATTTGCTATCCAAGATACTTCCATGAAATGTCTCCAAAAAATGATGTGATGAGTTTAACATCTCACAAATTCACAGAAAAGGAAATGTGTTACTTTTGGTTTGATTTTTGGATTCCACAACTCTGCTCATCATAATTGGTACAGATCATACATCCCTAATTTTGTGAAGCTATACTGCTGGTACAGTGCAGAAACTTGAATTGGAAATAGGATTCCATGATATGTTGATGGCGCCCATGGAAGGATACCACATGAGTTCAAACATTTCTGCACAGGAAATGTTCAGAATGCAATATACCATACTGAGAAATTGAGCAGAAGCCACAGGAAGATTCTGGGAGATTGCTTTTCATATTCAGCTGTACTACAGAACTAGCTGCATGTGGATCTGCCTGTATATGCAGCCCATGCATATCCTCCACTCAAACTGAATTGGAGGTCAATTTGATATTGAACTGACATTGTCATTGAAATCAAATTGAGATTGTTTTGAGATTGTTTTGAGGTGAATCGTACTCACTGGCCTGCCAGTGAGTAGTAAAAAGTCACTGTGAATAGACCTAAGGGAGCGCTCACAAATGTTGAAAGTAAACACTTTTGATCACCAGGAAAAAATATTTTGGAGAGACAAATACAACACGCACATATATCGAAATAAAGAAGGACAACTTGATTGAAAATAACAACTGAAACAAGTATTTGATGAAAAGTTGAAACCACTAATCTGAAAAGTAATTCAAAGATAATTAAGAAGTAAGCTGGGAGTTGAGTTCTACCATGTCAAATCCTCCTTGACTTTCTCATTCAGCATCACCATCTGCTTCATCCCTTGGAAATGATTTCAAGATCAAAAGGATGATTAAACATATGTGAGAGTATGACATGATTGAATTGAACAATTTGCTTACCTGGGTGGGTTTTTGGCGAAGTCAATCGGCAATCTGCTGTTGTCCATCTTGCCAGTATTGCATTTGTACTTCATCGAGATCTTGCAGAGCGGGATTCAGCATGATTTTATTGTCTAACGCTTGACAAGCATCTGCGGCAGCCATGGCTGCAATCTTTGCCTTTGCTGCAGAGGCCTTGGCAGACTTCATGTTGACAGAGGCGATGTCAGCACCCGTATTGTTTGCGCGCTTCTTGGCATTAGCCTTGAATTCTTTGGATTTCTTGCGGCCAATTGGTCTTTCTGGTTTGTTGGATTCTGAAGGAGCATCTTCATCTTGAGTGGTGGAAAATGGACCTGCATTGATTGCATCGGATGTTGGGCTGGAAGAGGACATAGCGGCTTTGGTGGTAGTCTTGTTGGTCTTTTTGACACCGAGTCCTTTCTTGTTCTTGTTGTTAAGGTGATCAGAAGTAGTGCACCACTTGAGATGCTGGCAAGGGATAGACCAGCAATGATTGAGGGTGAAGTGCTTGTCCTCGTTGGTGGCAGAGTAAATCTGGTGCGTGATTTTGAGCTAGCCAATGAAAATTGCCAAAATTAAGAAATTTAAATGAACAAAAACAAAGCCAAAAATTAGACTCACCACATCAAGATTTCCACGCCCAGTATAGTGAGCATATGTGGCTTGATCATACGCCCCACAGAACTCATTAACATTGTGTTGAATTATTCCCCAACAATGTTTGCAGGCTGATGTGTCACAATTTGTTTCTCGACTCATAGCTTCTTTCACCCATTCCACAAATTTGTCAAAAATACGGCCCCAGTACGTGGTTTGCTTTTGTGAATCTCCTTGGTCAGGATCAATTGAAGTGTGCACCCAAGCCTTGCAAAGAGAGATTTCCTCATTTGGACTCCAATACTTGCTCTTGTTTGTAGCTGATTTTGCACCCGGTGCTTTGGTGTTTGGATTTTTTGCAGTAGGATGGCAAGCTGAAGGCTCTGATTTGTACTGGCCAAGGTCAATTGAATCAAAAGGGAATATGACGGAGTCTTTGTAGTAATCCATTGGGGCTTATGTTCAATGCAATGAAGAAATAAAACAATAAAGGAATTGAAATCGAAAAAATGAGATTTCTTGAGATAGATTACTATGAGTAAGTCAAAAACAAACAATGATTTTGGTTGATTTTGAACAGATACAAATTAATCAAGTCAAATTGCCTGAGGCAAGTGAAGGTTGGTTGATTCTATGGTTTTTTATACCCATCAATCATATGATAGGGTGTGTGTTGTTGGAAAGTTTGAGAGAAATGACACTAGCACAGAATAATTAGATATTTTCAATGATGAGAAAAGAAAACAGATAGTCTTGTCTTCTTCAAAGTCACTCCTTGGCTCTTGACGTCAACAGAGGCAGGATTGATTGAATGTTGCATGATGTCTTGTTGACTTCAGTTCAGCTGGAGACTCAAGTGGAGGCTTGAATAAAATGGCTGTTGGGGGTGCACGTGATGTCAAGAGTCTCAATTGTCCCCCCAAATCTGGAGACTCTCAACGTCCCACCTCACATTTGGGAGGTCCTCTGCAGCGTTTTTTGGTGTTTTTATTGCCTGTATTGTCAGTAGCCCACATTTTGCAAGCTCCGTTGGAGATGCTCTAAGTCACTGCTTACGTCTAAACAGCATATTCTCCTTGGAAGGTAGTAAAAGTGAGTGCACTTTTATCTTCAAAACTGGCAGTGGTTTTCTTCCACACCTAAGACAGTTATAACTAACAAAAATAATTATTTCTACTTACTCACAAAGAATTTGAAAAATAATCTCCCTCCAATTTCAACAATCCTTGTTTAAAACTAGATAGAACACATTTTGTGAGTATCTTTCAACTCTGAACTAACAAGTATTCACCTTACTTGTAGTCCCAGGCTGACAAGTGCACAGTTGGGTGATAGTTGAAGATTGATCATAACACAATAAATTAACCCAAAGTCAAGTGGTATTTGTTGGTATTTCCCTGACACAAACAACACAATGACAAAGGGATTTGAGTGAAATCAAGAGGTGAATTGTAGGAGTTGAATTGTCAAGTCAGAGTCATAGAGGGGCAAAGCTTGGTGACGGTTGAAGATTGATTGTAACACAATAAAGTCAACTACAGCCGTTTTCAAGATCGTTGATTTTTTTCTGGATATTTCAGTTGTTCAAGTTTTGTCCAAACCTCGAACAAAACCCTTTTGGAAATTTGGGCTTTGACATCTCAGGTGGGGATATTATGACATTTCAACTATTCTCCATTGCTTTCCGTACTATTGCATGCAAGAGGGTGCAAAATCAACATATCTGAAAAGGTTTTTGGACACAGATTTGGACTTTTGCAAAGGATGATGAATGCTTGAAAAAAATCATTGATCTTGAAAACGGCTGTAAAGTCAAGTGGTCTTTGTTGGTATTTTCTGATGTGGACAATACAATGATGAAGGGATTGGAGTGAAATCAAGAGGCGAGGTGATGAAAAGATGTCAAGTGGTAAAACAGATTTGAGTGGAATTGGAACATGAGGTGTAGAAAAGGAGTTGTGTGGTGAACAAGGTTGAAGATCTACAAAAAGACAAGTACAAATTTAGCTAAGGGACAACTGGTGAGCGGCATGAAGATAAAGTTTTGGGGTGGGATAAAGGTGAATTGAGTGGATTAATGCACTGATTCAGCAGAATAATTGACTCCACAGTTGATTATTTTCATGTGCTGTTTTGGTGCATTTTTGGCTGTCTAAGTAAATTACAATCTTACATTAAAACCCTGCCAAACATCATTTTATAATGTGTATTAAATTAAAATGTTAATGTAATTATTGGTTTAAGGTGCATCAAAATGCACCAGTCAAACATAACCTAACTATCATAGTCTAACATTAAAGCTTAGTGGTGTATCAGTCTAACGTTAATGTTTAGCGGTTTATCATTCAGCCAACAAGTGAAAATCAGTTTTGCATGCAGTTTTGCAACACAATCTTGGCTTTAAGCACTGTAGTCATCTGTCATAATCAACCAGAGCTAGGGTGTGTGCAAGAACTTGGCATATGTCTGGTGCATCTGAAGTAATCCTGGATGAGGTAGGCCTCAAAATGGAAATCAAATCTTTGGGACAAGAGAATTGTGCTAGTCTCATGCCACAAATTGGACATTGGCCAAACTTATGTAGCAAATTTCTAACACCCTTGTTGTTATTCAATAGAGGCACAACTCTATGGATTTGCATTCTAGTTTCCTTCATTCCTTTTTTCACCTTTGTGGGCTTTTATGCTAGTCCACCTTGATTTGTGCCAGCTTTGATGATCTAGAAGCTCACTCAATTCAGAATGTCTTGAAAGGGGACATTGGATTCTAGCAATCAATGTCTCTGAAGGGGACATCACATAGATCTTTTGCAAAATCAAATATCTTGGTTGATTTTCTCAAAGTGATTGATTGCTCATTGAATATCATACTAACTAAGCAAGTACCAAATGAGAAGACTAATCTACCCCAATAATCAGTGCCATCTACTTGAAAAGAAGAGTTTGCCTGGTCTATAAGAGCACCCACTATGGTTGCCCTAACTCGGTGATTTAGCATTACCTTAACGCTAAAATACCATCAGGTCCACTATGGACCTGTTTTAGACCTGCGGTCTGTGCGGCTGCGTCAAGTATTGCACTTCGTGTGCTCAGATCTATGCAAGCCTATGACATGATTTATTGTAGGAACTAGGGGAAGCAGCCAATAAATCATCCCATAGTGGATTTCATGCGGTTACCAACTTTGGTGAAACATGCATGATCAAACTTCGCGCTCAGGAACACAAACTTTACAATAAAACACTCCCACCATAGTGGGTGCTCTAAGTTCTAAAGGACCATTTCAAATGGTTATATCATGAGATATATACTTTTGAATAAAAAAACCTCATGCATTAATTACACATACATATACACTGAGATCATTACCGGGCGCCGGCCCTGTCTGTAGCGGATATTTGTGCCTCGGGTGCATGGCGTGCAGAAGTGCGCGCAGTCCTTTCAGTATGTCGTACCACCTGATCGATGATCGAACAGGAAGGTTGCACTCGCTCAACACTCGCTCTACCTTCAGGATTCCAATCGCCGAACTTCCATTTCGCTATCCGAACCTTCACAGCACCACTCGCAGCTCAAAAGTGAACAGCAGAACCTCCCTTTCAGACAATGAGCGTGTATGATCAAACACCCTATGCCTCTTCTTCTGCTGGATATGGTGGGGATTACGGTTCCGGACCCAACGACCCGCTTCAATTCTACTCTGGCCCTTCCGATGCCTCATCTAGGTACTATGCCCGAGAGAGCATTGAGGGCGAACGTGGTGGCGTGACCGGTAGCATGTCATCAGCTCCAGGGTACGCAACAAACATGGTCGGCGGCTCGATCATCGCCGCTGGCGGGTTCTGGAGTGCATTTGGGACGGGTGGGGTAGAAGGGGAGCCTCCGCTGCTCGAAGGTAATTCATGTTTCTCGCTGATCAACATCTCACAGTCATCTAAATCCTGATTTTGTCCGTTCCACAGAACTCGGAATCAACTTTGATCACATCAAGCGCAAGTCTTTTGCTGTTCTGAACCCATTCCGCACCATCGATCAACACCTCATGGATGATGCAGACCTAGCTGGACCTCTCATTTTTTGTTTTTGTTTCGGGATGTTTCTGCTATTTGTGAGTACCTCATCTTGGACTACGCGTGATCGTCCTGTCAACCAGGTTTTCACCTTTACCTGTCACAAGGAAAGTTCGTCACCCGCCTTGCTGAACGCTCATTGTCGTGCTTATTGCCTTGGAAATGGGGCTGTGCCATTGGTTTTGTGAACACAAATTGTATCGATTGGGGATGTTTCAATCGGCCAGTCGGGGAAGCCACAGTTCGGGTATATTTATGGTCTAGCTCTCTTGGGTGATCTGTCGCTATATCTACTCCTGAATTTGATGTCAAAAAGTGGAATCGACGCTTATCGGGTCGCCAGTGTCCTTGGGTACTGTCTCCTTCCCCTCGTTCTTCTCAGTCTCGTGACGGTGGTAGTTAGCATGGAGTAGGTATTTCTTAATTATCCCGTTCTTGTTTTTTGCTTTCGCTCGTGTCTTGATTTGACATGCTATAACGTTCGCTTATCCTACTCTTCTATGCGGCATCCTAACTACTCATTATCGTATTGTCTTTCCCAACCTCGTCCGGACTACTTTGCGGCTCGCAGTGGGATTCTTGGGTACCTTCTCTCAGCACTATCCATTCTTTGGTGCGCCTACTCAGCATCAGGAATATTTGTCGCTGTCTTACGCATGTCCGAACAACGTCTACTCGTGGCATATCCAGTCGGACTTTTCTATGCGACCTTTGCGCTCTTGAGTGTATTCGATGCCAAGACTGGGACAGTGGGCGTACGCGCGGCGAAATGAAATCAATTATAAGAAGAAAGTGCTAGGATGATTCAAGTGGGTATGCTGTGATGTTGGCTGCACGACTCCTGTGATTGGAATCGAAGCGATCTATCCTGGCTACTCCTCATAAGAATGCCGTCCGCATAGAAATGACAACCACGTGCGCTGGTCTTTATAAAAGCTAGTATTGCTTCAATCCATTGTCCGATTTTTTCTCTCGTTAACCTGCGGATACAAGGTATAATGTACTCAAGATGAAGCTTATGAATTGTACAAAGTCCTGGCTACCCTGTCTCAACTTTTCGGACTCATGTAATCATACATTTACATCACCTCCACTTCACTACCCGTAGTTAATTGGGACCTTAGAAGATCTTCAAGTTCTGCTGCCTTCACTTTTCACTTCATCCTACCAACCCTCTCTCTTTGATGTGTTTTAGAGGTTGTTTGCCCTATCACGGAATCAATATTCAAGAAAGAACAGAATCTTCATGTTTCTATCACTGCCAACTCTGTATCACCCGAAGTCATGGAACATGACATGTATTGCCCTTGACCTTCATTCAATAAAGTACGTCTCCGGCAGCGAAGTGTGGAATACCCAGAACCAGATAAAGTGAATTATATCTCACCTCAATCTGGATGTAGCTGAAATACACCACGCAGATGATCAGGCATTCACCCCAGCACTTGCGTATACAATACGACTCATGGTAATAACACTTTATTCACAATAACAGCAAAGAAACAAGAGCCCACTCAATATTAAAAGGAAGCAGGATTCATCGACCTGAGATAGGTCAATTGCAAAAATATGATTGCAGATGCTGCCAAAAATAAAGGTTCAAGTTGGTTTTGTCAATATGTCCCAGCAAATTCACTTTGTGTTCAGTATATTTGATTGGGATACCCAAGAATCGTGTCATCACAAACGACGGTATGTGAAGGGAAGTAAGGTTTGCCACATAGGGCCGGATTTCCTGTGAAAAAACAGCATATCAGTGTTTGTAACTGGCTTTTTTTTGGAGAGAAACTAGTCTTTGAATCAGACAACGATAATCACTTTCAATCAGCATAGATGGTCAAAGTTTTTGATCAAAATGGTCCACGCACCCGTTCTCCTCGAGAAATTTTTGATCTATGTAAGCTTTATGAATTCTTAGCTTCTCAGAATGAGATGGTCTTTGTATTTCCATGTCTTGAGGAGGGCCATTTGGGTACATTATATGTATGTACATATTGTTTTGATCCTAAAGATGCTCATCAAGACAAGGATAGGCTTATAAAAAGTCAACAGGTGGGATCAGAGGAATCGACGAATCGTAGGCGGGGCCGACCGAGGTGGGATTTCGGGTCATAATTGACCAGCGACACTCCCCCCCATACGAAGTCATCCAAATCATCACCACATTGGAATCACTCGCTAACACCCGCAAACAAATTGATCGCACGCCAACCATGTCGACCGAATTGAAAAAGAAACTTGTCTACGGCATCCTTGAATTTCTAAATCAGTCCATATCGGATGGAACTGTTCGATCGGATGATAAGGAGTCAATGGAAGTTTGTCATTCTTCAAAACCATTTCCATCTTTGAAGTATATGCATCTAGCAGTATTCGTGACACTGACTGGAGCCCTCGTCTCTTTCTTAGGTAGCAATGCAGTGCATCTCCGAAGCCTTTGAGGTCGAATGGTCTCCTGATTCGACTAGCCCTTTGACGATGAAACCAGGCAATCTGCTAAGTGTTTTCGAGGTCTTCGTCAAAACCCAAAAGAAAGTAGTATGTCGTGGCGCACTTCACTAGCCTGCGAACCTTCAGCTTGGCTGTTTCTCACGTCAGCTCTATGACTTCGACGACCAGTCCTCCCCTGGATCGGTGCCGTCCTCAAACGAACCCAACGCAGAATCTTCCACCGCCGGCCCAACAGACTCAGCGAAGACTCAGGCTGACGAACTCAAAACTGCTGGGAACGTTCTGCTCTCCAAGAAGGACTTTGCGGGCGCCATAAAGAAGTATACCGAAGCAATTGCCCTTGATCCCACCAACCCAGTCTACTACTCCAACCGCGCAGCAGCTCACAGTCAGCTGGGAGCAAACGATGAGGCGATCGAAGATGCGCTCAAGGCCTTGGAGGTTGACCCCGGCTTTGTCAAGGCTTATTCGAGGCTCGGTCACGGGTATTTCAGCTCCTGCCAGTATGAAAAAGCCGTCGAAGCGTATGAAAAAGGTCTTGAATTGGAACCTGACGTGAGTGATATAGGAACACTGCAGATTGTTGTCAGTTACCCCCCAAATCTCGAGCTCACTAATCTTGCTTTATGTTTCCGAGTTTAGAATGATACTATCCGGAAATCACTTGCAACTGCAAAATCGAAGGCCAAACTCACTTCAAGTACAAGTCGCGGCCCCGACGGTAGTAGCAGCTTGCCAGGTGGTGCCGGTGCCATGCCTGACCTCGCGTCGATGATGGGTCAAGGTGGGGGCGGCATGCCCGACCTTTCTGCGTTGATGAATAATCCAATGATGGCTCAGATGTTAGTATAGCGACCTGTGTTACATCGTCAGTGAAATCTGAGAGATCCTCTCCGTGGTTCTTTCTCGCAGGGCTCAGAGCATGATGGCCAACGGCGGCTTGGAGCGTATGATGCAAAACCCAATGGTCCAACAAATGATGAATAGTATGGGCGGTGGTGGGGGTGGCATGCCAGATCTTTCAGCTGTGAGCAAGTGTTTCCCTGAATCTTCATCACTACGGTAGACGCTTATTTGTTTGTTCAATGCTCGTCTCGCTGGACTAGCTCATGAACAACCCAGCAGCACGTGAAGCGGCTGCCAGCCTGATGGGAGGTTCGGGTACTGGTTCATCCAACCGGAATAATGCTAATAACCCCAGCAACGACAACATGTTCTCTTGAGCATATCGCTGCATTGAGATGGGATGCGAGCTTCTTTGAGATGTTCTCGTGTCCTTCTTTTGTTTACCCCCATATATATCAATCTCGTTGTGCTTCTCGGCTGTGTTCCAAGCAAATATCAGCAATCTTTGTGTCAACTCGCCTCTAATTCATGAAATACAAGAGATTTCAAAACAATTTCAGAGCCCGAGCTTCGAACATCATGCATATAGACCACTTCAATAGTGGATGTGCTTGCGGGGGCAATGCTTAGGAGTAAATCACAAGCTTGTGGGGGGAGACTGGTAAGTTGATGGCGTATATTTTTGGCATCCTAACCAGCCAATTATTACACATTCAATTTAGGCTGTTGATCACGGGCTCTCCAATGCAGTGGAGAAAAATAGTGAACCTGTTTATGTTCAAGGAGTAAGGTTGAATGAATGAGCTTGACAGTTTTGGTGAGCTGTTCTCCTGCAACGGAAGCACTAGAGGATTGCCGGAGATTGGGAATGGAAATGATACCAGTATGAATGGATAGGTGTACAGAAAATAGTCAGCACCCAGTTGGTCATGGCTTCTTGGAAACAGCCACCAAGCACACTAATCCACTGGCTCAAACCAGTAAAAAAGTTCATTGATAATGTCTTTGAAATGATTGTTCTTTCAAGAAAACACATAACATTCAGAAATGAAGATAGGCAAGATAAATCAACACAAATCTCACTGTCACTGCCCCCACATTTCCCATTGCATCTGTAACACTACCAAAGGAAAGTGACCCCAAGAATATCAACATGTTCAACTTACTGGAAACCCCCCACATCTGACAAACATTTTTTGGGGCTTTGGATTTTTCCCAACAATTTCAGCTATACTGAGACCTAACTTAATTTGAAGCTTTATACTTAGTGTATAAAAGTTGATTGTTAAAAGTGGAAAAGCTGATAGAAGTCTTTGCATCCATAATTCAATACTTTGATGATTATGAGTTTGGGTGGTCAGAGTCAGATCTATACATTCCACTGGGGTATCAGGCGGATAATTGCATTTCACAGGGTGTAAATCATGTACAGTCAACTCTCCATAAAGGCATACCTTTATGGGCATAATCCCTCTAAATGCATAGGTTTTTAAGGGGTTTTTCCTGCCAAAACAGGATTCACCAGCCAAAACAAGATTTGGAAAGGCATATTCCTCTAAATGCATGAGAAAACTGCCCGCCAAACTGTATGCCATTGGAGAGAGTTGATGTATCTGTCAAAGCCTTGTATTGTAGAGAACAGAAGGCACTGTGTCTTTATCTTTGTAGCATGTTGATGTGCACACACAAAGGACTTTTGATAGACACTCAAAAGACCCCTTGAAATACATCTCCACAACAGGTACATGTTCCCCTTGTCAATTGAGACATTGAAACTCAGTAGAGCCAAGCTTTTGACAAAGGTGTAACGGAGGAGTATGGGATTACATGGCAGTACGGTATGGGGTTATGTAGTAGTACACAAGTAGTATTATAAGATGATTAGGAGTGCAATCCCTCCTCCCTTTTCCTTTTTCTCTTGAGGAACTTCTTTCCTCCTTCTCTTTATCTATATTTCTTTTATATTGATTGGTGGTGTTTTCAGGTATGACTTCTCTCAAGAGGAACCTCTATCCTGCTTCTCTTTATCTCTATTTCTTTTGTATTGATTTGTGGTGTTTTTAGGCCTAGATTCAGGAACTATATTTGGTGATTACTTTGTCTGGCTTTGGCCTCAGAGATCAGAGAACCTCAGTGAGGGTTGAGAGACACTCAACCTTACACTGTTTTAAGCAATCCCAATGTTTTGGATTCAATCAATGACAAATTGACATTCCGATTACCTTGAAGAATCATTTTTCTCATACTCTGAATTCTTGTTTTTTTCCTGTGCTTCCCTGTTTCACTGGCTTCCTGCAACACCTGTCATTGTTACCCCAAGTTTCCTGTCTGTATTTCCATGTCTGGACATCACCCTGTCAATTCCCAATCAACATCTCACAACCCTGGTCTAACCTTATCTACTGTAGACAATCCAGAACGGATTATCTTCCCGTTGCGAGGGCACCATCATCATCCAGCGCAATCAGTCTAGTCTCCTGGCAATATTTCAACACCTGATCCCAGACCTGTCTCAGCTCCACCTGGGCCCTCATTCATCACCTGCCAGTCACCAAGGACCCTTGCTGCTTGAGCAGCAGTGGGATTTACTTGCCAATCCGCCAAATCCTCACAGATATCCCGTTATAAATGCCACCTGGCCTTGTGTCTCATGTTGTGAGCCTACTAGTGTCTGTTGAGCTAGTAGATTCAATAAAAAAGAGGATAGAAGTTTAAACAAACTTCTACTAGTCTCGCGGGGATTAGTATCCACAAGTTTGAGCGGGTAAAGACGTGGGCATAGGAGCTCTACTTGGAATAAACAAGTAAAGACTCCAGTTAGTTGACCTTTAAACAAAGGATTTAGCCCAGGGATTTTGAGTTAATTATTGTCCTTGAAATGATTAAAAATAAGAGCAACTGACGTGCAGTTCTCAATCCTAAATTGATCCTCTTCTCATTCAAAGAAAAGTCAAAGAAGGTGGTGTTAAAGTCTTTTATAACACCGGGAACTTTACACTCTGACTAGTAGAGATTTCCCTTTAGATTAGGAGTTTCTTATATCAGATGAATCCCAAATCTGATATAAGCAGCACTCAAGGATTACTTCCTTATACGTAATTCCACTGTGTGGATATTACGAAAACTACTGATTATGAAATCTAATCAGACAGAAACAAGGGTTGGATGCGCACACAATAAAGTAAAAAAGACACAAGGTTGAGGATTCAAGGTTAGCAGAATCAAGCTTTTAAAGTTTGTAGATGTTAGACAAAGTTCAAAAGTTCTAGGAAGATGAAATGAGCAAATTGTAAGGTTGTTGAATGTTAATGTGATGATTTGAAATGGGTGAGATCTTCAGGGTTTATATAGTCTGAACCCTGGGAATCTTTGGACTACAAGTGCACACAAATTGTGGTTCTAAGGTTAGGTTAATTACAGTAACACACTTACTATTGGGTTATAAGTATATTTCACTTGTTACGTACGTGTTACGTCTGTGAAATATATGTAGCTTTGGTTCACATCAAAGTTGTGTATGTACACACTCTTTGATGTAAGTTTTGCACATGTTACATATGCCAAATCATATGTAACTTGACTCTTGAAACTGAGACTTGAGTTGTAGTTGCTGTTATTAAAGTTTTTTATTATATTTGTCGCCCATTGGTACACTGGTTTAGTACTCAGGGCTGACACATGTTCTGTATCAATTGATCAAATCTCTGAGGAATCTCAAATCTTACCTTGACAGTCATTACCAATGTCAGCCCTGAGAACCATAGTACCATAGACTGACAAATAAAAATAAGGAAAACCTTCAAAACAAAAATTACAACTCAGACTCAGTTTCAAGAGTCATATTACATATGAATTGACATATGTTGCATATGTAAGACTTATGTTAAAGACTATATTGTAAGTACATGACTTTTACATTTCCTAAGATTACATACACTTCACACTGGTAACATGTATGTAACCAAGTAGAAAGGTTAATACCATATGTAATATAAACCTAACCTTGGAACCACAAATTGTGCGCATAAGACTTACAAACTTCAGACTATAAAACTCTGAATATGCAAAATTTAGAATCATCATCACATTACAATTTAACATTTTTTATTTACCAAATAAATCCCCATCACCAACTAGATTATAAGCTTTCAGTAAATCAAACTTTACTATCTTATTTGTGATTGTTATCGTGTCATTGTGGCTCTGAACTCTTTTCTTTCTTGTTACCGTTCTTGAAGACAGTATTGGCATAGTTGTTGATTGCCATTTGTGGAATCAAACTATAAAGGAAGTCGTCCTTAAGTGCCGCTTGATCTGATTGGGATTTGGTCAGATCAAGAAACTTTAAACCTGTGTAGTACGTCTATTAGTCAGAGTTTAAAGTACTAAACACTACAAAAGAATTGGTGTTCTTAATCAGTTTATTTCTAGTTAGAAGAATAATTGATTAAGGGAAGTCACTGAAGATTCAGTGCACAGGTTCTTCTAAAATACTAGTAGAAACCCATCCTCAAATCACTTGAAAAGTCTTTCTTTAAAGGTCCTCTAACTGCAGTCTATACTTGTTTCTTACAAGTATAGAGCCAGAACCTTGTTTTTCCGCCTTTAAACCTTGTAGATCATAATCCCTACAGGTTTATACACTATCCTTAGTGATTATACTAGCCTTAAAGAAGCTAGTAGCTCACATTTGGGGGCCTCATCCGGGTTTTAGAACCTTTTGTTATTTTTTTTGAGCATATTATAACTCAAATCTTGTTCAGAAAACTCAAAAAGATACAAACACAATTTTTTTTATTGTTTCAGATTTTTTTTTCTCAACCTATATTTGTAAAAACTGAGAGCTGCTCAGCATTTTTACTTTTTAGGATAATAGCTTGGAGGAAAGAAAGAATTCTTTTCCCCCTCTGATTTTTGCAATTTTTTTTACAAAAAGGATGAATAGTTGATCCATCTACGACTTTATTACATACATACATTGTTGAATTGTATCTAAATTGTGTTGTGTAATTAGCCAAACTTGTCCCTTATATCTAATGACATATACACATAGTAACAGTACAGTCAGGTGACTGTGCACAAGTGGCAATTACCCAAAGCCCTGTGCATGGTCCGACAGCCACAGCGGTCCACAAAATTGAACTTCAAAGCCTTTTTTTGATTTTTGATTTTCTTTTTACCTTTTTGACCACAAACCCTCCCAACGCCACCTCACAGTTGAGTCCGTCGTCGGTGTTGATTGCACCAACACCTGAAACAATCCACCCCAAAAAGTGGTTGCGGGGTGGTTTCAGGGCAGCTGCTACATGTAATCTTATGTAGCAAGTCAAAAGCAACCCACCACCGCCACACCCCTGTGACCCTGTGAGAAGCGGGT